CTCTGGAGACTTTTCCTTGTTTGATGAATATATGGAAGAGAGAAAATATGGGTGGGTTCAAATTCTTCCTTCAGAAGGAGATGGGAATGAGAAAGAGGGAGGCAGGGAAGGAGGGAGGGAGGGAAGTCCCGCCTTAGCACTTGGCCACCAGCAGCCCTGCGATTGATTTTGCTTGTCAAAAGGTTGCAAAAGGGGATCACATGGGATTCCCTGGGACACTGTGACCATCATAAATATGAATGAGTTGTCAAGCATCCAAATATAAATCACATGACCCTGGGCATGCTGCAATGATCATAAGTGTGAAAAATAAGTCATAAGTCATTTCAGTGCAATTGCAACTTTGAACAGGGGTTTTCTTTTGGTCATCAAGTTTTTGACACCTTGCTAGGTGGTACTCGAATATTGCCATATCCTAAAAGTGGTACAATCGATGAAAAGGTTGAAAAGCCCTGAACTAGAAGACCTCCAAGGTCCCTTCTGTTATTCTGTTACTCCATTATTCTGTCTGAATGCTAGTCTCTTCAGGAAAAATTATCATTTAACAAATGATATTTAATGCAAAAGTGGCTCTTTCACCAATTATAATGACACTGGTGCCGTATTAACTTCAAAGACCTAGTTGACATTTCTTTTCATGGCAACATAACAAACAAACAAAAACTTGGAAAACATCTACAAGTTTTACACTGGGCTCATATTATCATACAGTATTTGGAATGTATGAAGAAAAGTTCACTATAGCAAGAAATGCAAATAACACAAAGTAATAGGCAGGTAACTGTAGTAAACAGTGGCACAAATTTATTTATTTTATTCACTTAAAAAGATCTCAATCTTACCAACAAAATCTCATGAATATTTGTTTAATGGAATGATGTGATTGTATAGTTACTATATAATTGATTTCATGTAATTTTAATTTTTTTTGTTTACTTTGGATTTACTATTTATTTTCTAATTTAGTTTTTATTTTTCTAATAGGATTTAAGAGTTCAAAATAAAACACCCTGTAAGTTTTATCTAAGGATCCCTGGGATTCAAATTCTTCCCACTTTTCTGCTGTCTAATTGATTGGGAATAGTGAGGAACAGTTCCTGTCACTTTTTTTTTTAAAGAGAAATAAGCAATCTGTTGAGAAATAAATAAATAATGTATATATGTACTATATGTAATGTAATGTAAATTGTTACTTACTCATATATCTATTGCTTGAATAGATATCAGTTTCTCAACAGATCTATATCAGAAACTTTTAATGATGCAGGAAACAATTTAATCTGGATAATAAGGGGATATACATGCAAACAGACTAAAATAAGTTAAGTCATATGTGCTGATCTTTTCAGGTCCTGATTCTGGAAAAAAAACTTAAGCATTGAAAACTAAAATATTTTTAAAAATAGCAATAGCAATCCTCCCTCACAGAGCTGAATTGCTGGGAAAGGCTGCACCTGGTTAAAAAATATCTTTTATTTTTTTCCCAGTCTTTGATGTTTCTAGATATTCAAGGACAAGTACATCAACTGATCTCATTTTGTTATTTTTCATTACAGTTCTTGCTTTTTAAGTCTTGCTAGCAGATTGAGCAGCTTCTAATATTCTCCTGAGTAATGCTATTATGAACTTTGATTTTATATTATGTCTAGTGCTCCTTTCTGATCTAATCATATCCTGTTTATTTTTTGTATTATGTTTATGTAAGATATTCTAAAGAATCTGCCATACAAAATTGCTCTCTCTCTCTCTCTTTGCTTTTTTATTCCATGTAGCAAGTACACTGCTGTTATATTTAATTTTATAATTTCTAATTTTATTAGATTTACAAATAACCATTTATACCATTGTTTAATTTATTAAATAAGACATCATGACTGGGTTTCATAAGATGCTAATTCAGTGCTAAGTAAACCACATTGTGGCTTAGAATGTTACTCTAAGTCCTTTGTTAAATATTAATGTAACTCAGTGGCTGGGTTCAACAATATACTAATCTCTAAATCTGGGTTTTAAAAACATAATTGCTACATTTCCTAACTTTCCAAATAATACATTATATTGTGCTTATGCTGATTATACCCTGGTTCACAGAATTTCTCAGATAATGGATGGATTTGCTGCCTGTTGAGCCACTACTTGGCTACCTTAATTTAGCTTAGATTATTATGTAAATCCAGACTGCATTAAAACTGAACTCAGCACATGTTGGTATGTTTCTACCAAAGAATCAGCTTTTGGAAAATTTCAAGAAAATTGAAAGGATATATTAATGTGTATTTGCTGAAAACATATTTACTCCTGAACAAACAGACTAAATTTTCACAAATTTTCATCTTAGACTAAAAAATGATTGGGTAGTGTGTGAATCAGTGACTTCATATGTTGCATTAAGTCATAACGTGATTTGTCCGTAGTTATGACTAAATCATCTAATAAAGATTTATTCAATAAAACTTGGTTAAAAAATCCTAATTTGTGATTTATGACAATATTCAGTGTCTCTTTAGCTTTTTAAAACATGTTGTAGAAAGTGAAAACATCATTATCAGATGCTGTCAGTCAGGCAAGAAGCACACCCAGAAGAACTAGCTCTACTTTATTATAAATTCATATTAGAGGGGCAAGTGCCAGATTGCTGCCTTAAATATATTTGCAAACCAAAAAGGAATACCTGTTTGGCAGCTAGGAGTGTTGGAGCTAGCACTGCCCGTGAAGACATTGGATGGCTTGACAAAGTCTAAGTGGCAGAATATTCTTTCTAACAGTGGTGACATTTGGTGGTGGTGAACTATTTCTCAGAAAATGCCAATGGGCTGCATAAGCCTGTTAAATGGACCATATGTTGTATCGCCCTGGTTTAGACCATACTTGATAACTTGGAATCATTGAACTGGAATGGAATTCACAATCAAAATATTTTATTCCACATTCACGATAGTATTATTACTATTAAGGGCATCCACATTTGTCAAAATGTGTTAGCCCTGCAAAGTAGCCAAATAGGAAGCACAACCAGGGGTACTAGCTCTCTATTTATTGTAAGGTTACATTAACAGAACCTTGCTAGGCTAAAATAATTTCTTCTTTTCTTTCCTTTTACTCTCCGACAAACTAGGCAGGATCCTTTCTGAAATGTTTCCCTTGTGTAATTGAAGATTAAAAACTTACCTATTCAGCTAGAAACGGCCTGTCTGTTTAACTCTACAAATGGCCAATCTGCAGCTGAGTATTTTAACCTATTTTTCTCTGAACTGAAGGCTGCATACCTGAGGTTTCCACATAATCTCCAATTCAGGAATGGACTGGAAGCATACGGGCTTTGTTTCAGATACACTGAGATATCACTATGTTCTGACTGACTCCCAAGCTTTCTTATATCTTTTTCAGGAAAATTTATGAAATAGAGTTGCAAAGTTGAGGAATTATTGTATTGAGCATCCTTTTGGGATCTTCCATTTCATCCACTGGATTCATACTTATCAAAATGTACTGTGTAAATCTAGCCTATTAAAGTAGAAGCAGATTTTCACCGCTTCAAAGGACAAACAAGGTTTATTAGGAAAAGTTACATACAATAGTAGAAAAGCCGCATCATTCAACTTTTTGTTTTTGAGGTCAGGAAAAAAAAGGAAAGTGATATTCTAGGCTTCCAATAGGAAGCAGACTGAAGAGGAAAGCTATTTCAGTAGGCAGAGCAGAGCAGAGCAACACAGAAACAATGAAAGAAGGAGAGGGAGCTCCCGGCTTTCTAGCTTTATTTTTAATGTCAACTAGTAGTCAATAGGATAAAAAAAAATGCCAAGAGTAAATGCATCTGGAGCAGCATCTCAAACAAAAAAGGAAACAAAAAGGAAAAGGGAGTTGCAAACAAGATGGCCAAGTAGACAAAATGATTGAATCTCTGCCAACAAGAAGGAAGATTCAAAGGGGAGGGAACCCTCCAAAACTGAGGATACCCAGAGAGACCAAAACAAAGGATCTAGTTAGCTACTGAAAAACCTATAGTTTGTATATGTCTTTGATGATGGGCCTGAAAGTGTGTGCAAAGCTGAATCAAAGAAAAATACTACCCACAACACTGCTTACAATACTCAATATTTGGGATATTTTTCTACTGGCAGTTTAAAGCATGGATGTCATAAAATATAACTATAATGTTGGTCTTCCATTCTGCCCATACTCTGAGACTGCCTTCTTTTTCATTCTGCTGAAGCATATTTTCTTCCTACTCTGACATTCCCTTGATCTTGAAATGTATCAAAATCTGAGGTAGGACAACTTTTAAAGAAGTATAGACTGGAAGTTTTTCATGTCCCCCAACAAGTAGACATTGGTAAGGTGTCATCATCAAGTTACTAGAATGTCTGAAAGTTGTGACATTGCAATGCTGGGTGGGGAGCAGAGAGGGGGGCAGGAGACGGCTGGGAATGAGGGGCAGCGAACTAGCATTTCAATAATGATTGGTGGTCAGGTTAGAATAAACAAGCGAACAAGCATTTCAATAATGATTGGTGGTCAGGTTAGAATAAGAAAGACAATAGATATGAGTTGGATTGTTATTCTGCCTTTCTAAGAAAGAAAAATAATACTCAAAGTGGCTAACAAACAAGAGTAAGTTAGAAAGTTTATAATAAAACAATTAAATAATGGTATTTTATTATGATTAGTTAATTAATTGAATTCTTAAAGTTAAACCATTTAAACTAAATAATTTAAACAATTAAAAACTAAATTAGAATGGTACAATAATTGCATATGCAAAAGTTATAAAATAGTAAATAATAACTCTCACCAGTAAAAAGCTTAAATGCAAGATTGAGAAGGTATTGCTTAGGACTATTTCAGAAAATAGTCCATCCTTATATTTTACATTTTTTAAAACTGAGAGTAATGTATAACTGCAATAGTTTGCATCATTTTTCTCTTAATTTTGTCTTCCATATGAGTTACAATTCCAGTTATTTTAGGATTCCTTGTCCAGCACATCTATATCATGTTCGCAAATGCCATAGTATAAGTTTATTTGCCCAATCCTAAAATCATGCACTCCCTATTTTGAGGCCTTGCAACTTCAACAATAATTAAAATGAATTAAATTTTAAAAATATAACTTACCAACTGGTTCCTTATTTTATCTGAAAGGCTGGGCTCATTCAAAATGAAAACAGACTTCCCTGGAGAATCACCAGATATCAAATGCAGCTTCGTTTTATTGACATCGTTGGACAAACCAATGGTAATGAAAGATATTCCAAGAGCTCTGGCCTTTTCTGATATGTCTTGAACGTTGGGATTTTTGGGATGATCAATACCATCTGTCATTAGCAAAACCACTTTGATGCTTGTTTTACGACCTTCTGCTCTGAGCAGTTGAGTTGCATTAGAAATAGCATAGTAGGAATAAGTGCCATGCCCAATGTAGCTCATTTCATTGACTTTTTGCTTAAAAATCTGCAAGTTTTTCCATGCTAAAAAAGGACAGTCAATTCTGACAGAACTACTGAACTGCAGGATGGCCAGTCTGATATCATACCTGTGGGTACGGGTGGGCTTCATGAGGAAGACTTTATCGCTTAAGAGGATAGCAAACTCTTTCTGCTTATCAAATAATATACCCTTTGCACTTTCAGAACTATCCAGAACAAAGATGATGTCAATAAAACAGACAGAATCTAAAAAAGACAAGATTAAAAATGATATATTGAGAAAAGTCATATACTAAAAAAAGTAGGCAAGGCAGCATTATGAACCATGTACACAAGCAGTGGGCTGCTTTCATAATTTTGATTCCTCATTCCATGGACACCACTATCAAGGCAGCCATGGGGAAACTTCAAAGTCTGATGTACAACAGGATTTGTATACCTCTATATTACCAATTGTTTTACATGTAAGCATGGACAACTTGTGAAACCAAAGAATTTCTATCCCATACCCTCAGCTAGAAGTGGTACAAATTGGAATAATAAAACATCAGTAAAATTGTCTATGGTGATTCTCAGTCATTTAGGTCAGTGGTTCTCAACCTTTTTAATGCCACGACCCCCAACCGGTCGTAAGTCAAGGACTACTCAACCGGTCGTAAGTCGAGGACTACTCAACTGGTGCAGCACCATTTGCAGAATGGGACTTTTGGCAGGCTCAGCAGGGCAGAGACAGCCTGGACAATTCCTATTGGCTTTTGAAAGCCAATAGAATTAGACTCCTATTCAAGAGAGTCTATTCTATTGGCTTTCAAAAGCCAATAGAATAAAAGGGAGTAGCACAGCTAAGGAAAAGGGGGAAAAAATGGCAGACTGCGTCGTTTGGCGACCCCCGTGAAATGGTCGTTCGACCCCAAATGGGTTCCCAACCCACAGGTTGAGAACCACTGATCTAGGTCATGGTTGCCACAAAGGAACTTCTTTTCCAAAAGGCAGCTCTTTTTTTATTTGAAAACATTCCGCTTCTCATCCAATAAATTTCTTCAGTTCTAACTGACTGGAGGGGAATGGAAGGACTTATATACTTTGCAGTCATCTAGTCGTCAGCACTCTGAGGGTTGGTTGTTAGCTCTCTGAGGGTTGTTGAGGCCACTTAGGGATTTATCTGTATCCTCAGAGTCACCTGAATCAGAGTGCAAATGAGTGTGGATCTTCTTAGGAACGAAGGAAGAAGATTCCACACTGTTTGCATTCTGATTCAGAGTATTAATGACTGCAAAGAATATACATCCTTCCTTTTCCCTTCAGACAGTTAGAACTGAAGAAGCTTCTTGAATGAGAAGTAAAATGTTTTCAAAGGAAAAAAAAACAGAAGAAAGTCCAGTTGCCTTTTGAAAAAAACATCTTTGGACATCAGTGAAATTCTTACCCTTCCATTATACATCAAATCTTCTAGGCCTAAACATGATTTGCTACTTGAAGAATATTAAATAGCATGCCAAGAAGATAATGTAGCTCCAATCAAGCAGAAGCTAACAAGTTGTACTAACTGCATTGATGTAAAGAGTGAGGTTCATGTTTCACTTCTTTCTCGCATAAGAAAATAACTGCGAGTAAATGCACAGAACAAGAGAAGTTTTGCAACATAACATTCCTTTTTGCTTTGGTACAGAATACATCTCTTCTTAAGCATGAAACAAAATCCAAATCACTCCTTGAAAAGTCTCATTAAGCATCACTCAATATCCTGGAATGCTGAAAGGACTTTGGGAATAGTTTATCCCAATATTCCCTTGCTGAATACAGAATCTGAAATATCAGATACAGCATTCCTAACAATTCATGCCTAGTTTATATTTATACAGTATAATTCCTTCTGAAATAGTCTCATCTTAAACGTTCATAATTTTTAAGATGATTTGCTTAAAGCTGTTTCACAATTCTAGTTGTACAACTCTGATTTACAGAATTACAGAACAGAATGGCCACAAATTCAAAATGATAATGTCCTATACTAGAGAGAAAGAGCACCAAGGAGATAATAGTTGTAGTATTTAAATATTTGTTATCTCATAGG